TCCTCGTACTTCGTTATCTGTGTAATACATAGCACGTACAAATTTGCATTAAGTTTGTAAACTTGTGTGCCGGGCGGCGATGCACATGTTTATTTATGTTAACTTTTCGAGCTGCAAAATGTATTTCCAGATTTTTATTTATCAAAGGATTAAGATGAATAAATAGCGAAACGGGATTTTTCGGCTTATACCGGGTGGCTGAACGAAATGGCCGTCTAATTTATCAAGGTGTGATGAGTCTAATGTCTAATCTAATGTCTGATTGGCAACATGTTGATATCATTCAAAAGAGCAATCTTCACCACACACAAAAGCTAAATTAAACTAGACTTATATAAAGGTCAAACTTTACCGTAAATTATTTTGGAAAATTGGGTGGAGTTTGAGGATGTCCCGGAAACAAATTTTCAAATTTCCCTATTTCTAAATTAAAAATTGCTGTTAATCAGTTAAGTAGATGGCAGTATTTTGCATTAGTATTGTAGCGATAGAAGTTGTACAACCATAAGACCACCCAGTTATTTTTCATCATTGGTTATGAATTTCTGTCCTTTTACCGGCTAGCTGTCCTTCTTCACAATTTTTAGAATTCAGTCTTGCATTCGCTTGTTATAGCTTGCATCAGCTTGTTCTGCTTATTAAACTCTTGCTGAACCTTGTCCCTGTGTTGCACTGTTCTTGCCATTAAACATGCCGTGAACTTCCGTTGTTACGTTCAGTAATTGTGTTACGTCAGTAAGAGCGTCCATGACGGCGCCGTTGCCGGTCGTGCCTACCTTTCATCTCAACAGCCCACAAAACATCGTGGTAAGGTCAACACGCCAACCCACTAGAACAGCAGCCAGATCGGCTACTGTTACAGTATTTTGCTCATAAGCCTCATATTCGGGAGCACGCGTGCCGAGCGCGAATGTCCACATTATTTTTAGCACCAGTGCCGACTTGGCCTGATATGTATAAGATTGCGAAACCCAATATACTGCAGTACAAAACTTAAAAAGTTATTGGAGCATCGTAGTGAATTATCGTTGCTATGCAGACTTTGTTCAGTTTGTTGCACTATATTTGGTTAATTCTTTATTATCTCGGTTCTTTTTAGACGTGACACCAGTATGCAATGGGCACCGTGAACCCCGGGAATTTTCACGCTAACATACCGTAAAATCTCGAATCAGAAGCCCACGACCAAATTTAATTAAATTAAGGCATGCTGGGGCTCGGTGTTTACGCCAATGTACGTATACAAATCAGTTGGCTACAGAGTTCGTAAAACAATGCACAAACGTGCTTGGGAGTGCGCAAAATCGAATGTTTTATCACATGTAACATGTACCTTGTACCGGCACACTTCCCTTAACTGCAGTTGTGTATTAACGCACATCCCATCTTTAGAAAAAAGTTTTCTTCGATGCTGGCCAAAGTCATCATGGCATAGTATTTACAGCCAATTATGTTGCATAATTTCTTAAAGCTTAATAGTCAACGAAGTAAACTATTCATTTTTACAAACGCAAACATACTCGTCCGGCACACATGTTTACGAATTCAGCGCAGGTAGAAAAGCCGCAAAACATAAAGCATTCAGTGGCAGAGGCTAATGACATAAATTAACGCATCTTCAAATATCTGATAACGAGAGCAGCTCATGTCAGCAGTGTCCGATTACCATACCGTTATAATAGTGAGTCGGCGAAGTCCGCCGTAAACCGTAAAACGGGCACCGCTTTTAATCAAGAGTACAGAGTTAGACAGAGCGTGTGTCCAAACGAATTTCTGTCTGCTCCCTTGATTAAATGCGTTTTACGGCGCCCGGTCGCCTGCCCAGGCGGACTTCGCCGACTCACTAATCGTGAGCATTCCCGGCCGGCACGCGTGCTCACAAACGTGAACATCCCTGCCCGGCTCCCATGTTCACGATCGCAGTGCAGTATTATCGTTCGTTCGCATACTAGCATCCGTCGAATTGCAAAAAACCACACCGGCAGTTCTTGGGAATACAATTTTAAAAAATATAATTATACAGAATGCCATAATGTTTGTAAGCATTTTAATATGCTGTAGAGTGTGGGCAATAAGTATTCAAGTAAAATACGTAAGTACCTATACTTGAAGTGCACGCTTCACACTTGCTCCAAAGTTTTACAGCCACAGGTTCTCTCTAAAGGTAATTAAAGCCCCTTCCCAAATGCACGTTCGTTGCAGCCCACAGCAGAAATTCGCGGCTTGACTTTGCTGAAATATTTGCAGGGGGAGTAAATTCCGATTTCGCACCTAAAGCTAAATCACTTTTGTGGTTATATCAGGTTTCTTAACAGAATTATAGGGAGCAATAGACACAGAATGAGGAGAGTGACCAGTTGTTTGAAATGAATTGTGAAACTGACCGGTTGCTGGAGTATTTGATTATGAAATTAAGCAACTGTAAGCCGATAAGTCAGCTGGTTACAGTGCACCTCAGAGACTGATTTCGTTGTTTCATATTATGTACGTACTAAACACCAAAGATCACGCAGGGGCTACTTATTTAAGGCATGATAGCATCTGAATTATGAATATAATTCTGAATTATGATTGAACCGGTATAGAGCATCGAAGTTCTAAATTAAAACTGGCTTGTTACCACTATTGCTAAGTTTTATGTTTTATTAAGTGTTATGAAATTTTCTAGATTTATTTACATGGCTAAAAAATGTTGATATCCCCGCCCAGCGCCGATGTTCACGACCATACAGCAGACTGCCACGCAGAGACGGCCGAGTTATTCCTCTGATCTGATTGCAAGTGTGGCTTGCATCAGCGGTATCCGACTACCGCCGAATAGCTAACGTGTTCATCACTGCCCGGCATCATTCACTAAATTAACGTCTATTTTGTTCTGCTCGCAAAGCAACATACCCGTAGTAAAGAATCAATTAAATATTATTCAGAAATAAACAGTGTCACGATTGCGTATTGTAAAGACGGACTGCCAGACAGGGAATCTTCTGCCCAATACAATGCCATCTTCATCATAGCTGTGTAGTCCTGCTCCAACCATACAGAATCGCTTAAAACTTAATGATAAAAGTCGCCGAAGTTTAGGAAAGACTGGTTTTTATGAGATCAACGTTTTATTTCCCAACAACATATTAATGCCATCCTTTGCGTACTGAGAATACAAGAACATAAAACATTTAATTTCAGACTGGATGCAGAGAAAATCTACACTTGACATGCATGATTTCATTCGTGAGCATTTTTGCCCGGCAAATATGCTCACACCGTGAACCGTGAACATGTTAACATTCTTGCCGGCTACACATGTGCACCTCTGCATCGTTAACATATGCAGCAGAATCAGTACATACAGGTAATACAGGTAATAGTACATACAACAAAGCAAGCGGAGGTACTTACAGCACCGTACAATGTGTGACGTTATTGATAGATATCGTCTGCCCGAGAGGCGAGGCATCACTGCAGACGACTGCTTTTCATAAAGTTCCATCCAATGGCTGTATTACTGCAGCGGCAATAACACAAACTTACAAAGGAAGGTCTCGTTTGGCTTTAATTTCTGAGTACCAGTGAAATTACAACTGTAATCAACCATCCACAACGGCTGAACGTAATGTGAAAGCCGAGATCTTTAGCAACTCACAAATAAGGAAAACAATTAAGACAAAGGAATCTATCAGCCATATAAGACAGGTGTAGAGGCATCTGAGAGATAAATTGCAGACGCGTCCTATACTCCCGGGAAAACCAGCGTTCAAAACACCCACTCTCCAGCCGATCTACCCTTTCTATTCGTGCAGAAGGGTGTCCAGAGGAATAACGACGTGAGAGCGAGACGAAAGCTTTCTTCGTAAATGCAACACCTTCCTACTTCTACTCGGATAGCAATGGATAAATACGTTATATGAGTAAGTTTGCCGCTGATATGCCGGTAGGGTGTGATGCTGTCCATAATGAGATGTTGAACCTTTTTGCAAACCCAAGAACAAGGGAATACCGCGTTCAGTATCCCGGAATGGGGATACGCATAATGCACTGCATGGTCTTGTTAATGTCTTACACGGCTTGGTAAAACTACATAATTAGAGAACTACGTACAGCAAACTGCTAATCGACAGAACCATGATTTCTCTCGCAGTTTGGCCTGCATCACTTATTTCGTGCTGCCATAGCGGGAAACTTCACGTGCAGCGTGATTTTACCCCCTCGGGACTTATCTGGCAGTTATCAAAGGCTTACAAGGGGCTCATCTTGCGGCCCAACGCGCGTCAAGCATACTGTTTACGCCGATCAGCCATAAATTAAACTTCATTTACGCGCGAGCGTGAATAATATATATTCCAGCAGGCATAATCCTAGGTGTTTATCTTCGTGGCTAGTGGGACGTCCATGGCTCCATGACCGATGACGCGTCCAGGCTCTCAAGAAGGCACATGTGACTGTATCGCTGTCATTCAGAAAAAGAGCAAGATTTGTATGGCGCACTGTAATATGTTATCCGACCGGGTGGACATGCGTTGTTGAGCACGCGTAGGTACTTAATAAAAAATCAATAATTAAACTGGATACACCGGTGTATACTTCACCCGCTGGAGCAGAAACCCCCTCTCTTTGTCTCACATTACGGGTGGTCTCGCTTTATATACCGTCTTGTGGCTCGTCTGTTGCGTCGTGCATCCTAAACAGCGCTCGTTTCCGCGATTACACGCCGGGTGATGAACTAGAACGGCTTCTGGATCTATCTCTTTTCTTCGCACAGCCAGCTTATTTTACCTATGTAAGCTGCGGAGCCCACAGGGACCGCAAATAATAGTACCAACTCACGGGCACAATGAGTGTTTTAGCGGCACTATGTCATTGCAGTGGATGTTGTTGTTTATTAATAGTCCTCTGTCTGGTACCGGTATGCACGACGAATCACATGCTACCTATGAGTTCAACATTAACTGATGCTGAGTTAGCCATCCTCTTACGAATTTACAACCAGCTGGCTAATATTTCAGACGCCGACGAAATTCTATTATCACATTTTATGGAAAAAAACATGGATATGTTTTCTAATTTCTCTGCGGATGTGCTCCCATTTGTGGAGTCGGTGGATTTGACACTATCGTTTCGCATTACTGCCACCGTGCTGCATTCAGCCATTTTCTTACTGGGAGTGTCTGGCAACACTCTGCTTGTCGTGGTGGCACATAGATCCATGTTTCTCAAGCAGCCTATGTACACCTATTTGGTAAGCATATACAGTATATTTGCATACCTGTTGGGTGAGCTGCTAAAAATTTTGGTTAGTGATTCGGAAATTGTTTTCCTGATTTAAAGTGGAGAGGCAATTGCATGTAGAAAGGGCTAAATGCTTTCAAAAGACTTGAAAAAGCGACCTTCTTCAACCGAATAAAGCAAATGTATCGAGTTTTACCGTTGATAAAATTCCGTTTTAGCTGGAAAATCAAAATTATGAACTTCTGTGTCGGAGAAGCCCCGCTGCGTGTTCACTGCCCACGGGTTTCTTTAATTGCTGCTACAGTAAATTTTTTCCTCTCGTAGGACATATTATTCTATGACTTTGAATCGATCGAACCGATGACGCAAGCCTTTGACAGTATCCCTTACTGCAAGGTGCAAACCTAGACTGAAAAATGTAGTAGGAATCCAGCTATGTAATTTATTTACCAACAGGAATTAACAGGTTCCGAATCTGTTGTTACCTTTTGACTCAAGAATTAGCTGGAAAATGAAAAATCCGATACAGCGTTTTCAAATAGCAGTTCTTTTCCAGCTAATTCCTCCTCGTATTAAATTTATTTGAAAGGATCCAGCTTTGATGCTTTAATTATCAAACTATTAGAGAATCGTCCGATATTGCATATTAGAACGCCACCCCACAGTACCCTGGCAAACTGGCGTGCTGCAACTTGCAAGTGAATGCTACCGCATTCAGTTTTCTCACTCGCCAGGGAACATAGGCCTAAAAATTCTCATTATGAGAAAGATGGTGTACTATACTAACAAGTTTAAAAAATATTTTAGCTGCTGTAATCAAAAGGGCGTGACAAAAAAAAATTAGACGGTTAAAATAAGTTTATTTATTGTCACTTAATGCAAGGCAGGGTAGTACCGGTTTTATTCGTAATTTTAATTTGATTTAACGAATGTGGCAGTAACTTGCGTAGGCTCTTGGAGCAATCGAGACCGGCGTAACTGACGCGGGCCGGACCTTTGTTGCCATAGTGCACAATTGCACATATTCAGAAATTCGTTTAATTTCGACTTGTAATTATTAAAATCGTAAAAATAGTAATTTTTTACCAATAAGCAAATAACTACTTCACAACGCGTTTGGGAAAAAGTGCACTTTGGCATCAGAGGCACGGCCCACCGCACGCGGGCGTCATTACGCTGCTCCTCGACTGCAGGTACTACACTGCCCTATAACATATACATTTCAAGTTTTGTTTGGCCACGCGGCCCACTCCCTTTTGATTACAGCCATTCAAATGTATTTTTAAACATTCCAGTATAATACTATATGCTACCTTTCTAAAAAAAGAGAATTTTCTGGATTTGATGTGCCCTGAACAGTCGCACTATTGGATGTAGTGACAATCTGGATTTACTAAACATTTAATCTCGTCAGGTTGAATTACCGTGGGCGGCAAGATCAGCTGAGCTGCTACTAATATTTAATCATGTAAAATGTTAATAACGTATTATCCTACTGTCCATAGGACAACCGAAGTCTTTCGATACCGGCACGTGCTTATTATGGATTAAATACCGCGCTCGGTAATGAGAGTTTATTTTGCTGCAAGGCACGATTCAGGTTTGCTGAACTTTGTACCTGAATGCCAAGTGCGTACCGAAATCTGTGGTCCTGAGAATAAAATATAGAACGGCTTGGTCATTACCAAGTAAGTAGCTTAATCAACACCTAATCAGCACCTTAATTAAAATGTAATAATCAAATAAGCCGACCGAATGGCAGCAAAGGTGCAATAATTCAATAAAAACTGAAGAATATAAGTCTGCTCATTTGCTTTCTTGTACCGAAGCGGAAATTACATTTACGTTAATACTTCTTACCATCCAACATCCTTATTGCGTTCCTATAGTGGGTGACACGAAGATCGAGTAATTACAGTATTAAGTGACATATTTATTTTGGTCTTTTAATTCGACAAAGGTAGAACAATTTGTCTCTATGGGATTTTTCGGAAGGGGAGAATTAGTTCTTCTCTATTAACACTGTGGTAGATGACTTCTTTGTTACCTTTTTATGATAATTCCGTGATACAAAAACACCTGTCTTGGTGCTTTATGTACTGGTTTATGCTATTGATATATTTTTATTGTACTAATTTAGTAAAGCTGATGCTAATACTAAAAATTTGGTGTTAGCTGCAAAGTATCTTTTATCATATTAACGGATAAGGAATTTTTACGCAAAAACCGGATTTTTTGGCCTGTTCTCATTCAGGTCAAGTACTGAACACCAAATGCTGCAGCAGCATTTCAGCGTAACCAGGGTTATGCTGAAATTACTCGCATGGACGCAGTATTTATGGCAAAAATTATGAACTATAAGTCCCGTTCGCGCTAGCGCGCGGCCCGTTGTGTTTGAGATGCATATTATGTACATTCGGTGATATTAAAAAACTTTTTCAAATATTTTCAACAGATCTACAAGGGGATTGTTGTTTGTTAATGCCCAGGTAGTTACGTCGAGCTTTTGAAATTGCATATAGAGTACAATCAATGTTAAGGGGGGTTGCATAGGCATTAACTTACTACGCAGATACACTGAGACTATTAGCAACGTCCGCACGCTGAGGAAGGACATCTTAGTACCGGTGTTGGGAAAAAATGCGGAACTCAGACCACGCAAGTTGAATTCAAACAAAATCTGCAAACCAGTTCTTTGAACGCAGATTTCTTAGCAGTGTTCTACGAAGTGACTTGGTGCAAGGCTTTTTTTGCAGGGACCCTATCTCAACTGCATTTGTCATGTAAACCGCAGTTTTGTGTAGCATCCTGTCGGGCAGTAAAAAATCGCGACCCAAATGCATGATGAATTAATCAGAATTAAATAATTATTTTTTTCGGAAATTTAGAAAAAGGTGTGAATGTAAAGCTGTTCCAGCGCATTCACTGTGGATACCCCTTTTTTCTGTTTAAAGAATTAATTTATTTACCTAAATTAGCTTCAAAAATCGTAATCAGTTCAAACGGAGACGAAAAGCCACAAGATTTTGAATCCTCCTGGATGGTACACGTAAAACTTTTACACAATTTTGATAGACTGAGTCACTGAGTGATAAAAGAGAGTGCGTCAGATTTTCAAAATAAACTTCAGCGTTCTAGGATTCAATAAAATTTTCTATCGAACGAGCTTGAACTTGGGCGAGTGATTCGCCGAAACAACCGAAAAACCGGGACGGCCGTTTTGTTTAGCCACCCGGTACTGAACATTTATTACTGTGACGCCGTCGGGAACACTCCTGCGTGTCCTCAGCGAGCCTTAGAGAGATAATTTTATTTTAGTAAGATGAACTTCATCTACTGCATTTTAGTAAAATGAAAGTTAGGGTTTTACGGCGATGCCATGTGACGTCAGCAGAGTAACATTGTGGGACGTCGTTGATCCTACAAGATTTCTGCAGTATATCTGATTGCTGCAGAAAATGCAGACATGATGCCCGACATTTTTATAAGTCGCCAATATCGGTGTACACCAATCACTGTGCGCGGTACGGTGGTACCGTAATCGCGTAATGAGACTGATAGAATTCCAAATAATACACCAGGTGGCGACATGTACGTCACACAGTAGTGAACAATGTATCCAGCTTAACATGATCCTGTTTCCTAAAAAACGATATTCTTTGATGATGGTGATACTTGCAGTTTTTATTCTACCGGTAATGCTGTACGGTTTCTGTAGGTATCGATGGCTTATGCCGATCTACTGGTCTGTTTAACGGCCATTCCGGAAGCCATTGTGTCGTACCATTTTCGAAATCATTGGTTCCTTGGCCAGGTGGGCTGTTCCATATTTGTTTTCCTCAATTTTTTCGGGATTAATGCCGGGGTCGCCAGGTAATCTGCAGCAAAGGAATCTGAACATCTATCACATATTCGGGAATCGGGAACACCACCTGGAGCTCTAACTTCTGCAAAGTTTCGTTGTTCAAACAAACTCATTTAGACGGAAAACTAAAGATTTTATTTTAACTTTTACATTTTGTTGAGCTGCAACAAGGATATACAGATAAACAAATGTTTCGACGTAGTTAATGCTAATTTTGAAATAAATCTTACTTCTCTGCAATGTAAAAAAAAATTACATGCATTTGTTTTACAGCATGACCATGATGAGCTTTGAGCGCTACCTTGCCATTTGCCGTCCATTGCTAGCCCGCAAAATGTGCACCGTGGAGCGCACGCGCAAGATCATCATCTGCTTATGGATCGCCACCGCAGTCTACTGCTCACCGTGGCTGGGTCTCACCAAAGCAAAAGCCATCGAGGGCACAGATTGGGAGGTCTGCGATTTTCGCTTAACGCAGGCGTACTATATCTTGATTTTTGGAGCGGATTTGTTGTTATTTTACTGCACTCCACTGCTGGCGGCAGTGATCATCTACGTAAGAATCCACGAGACGTTGCGCAAGCGTGAAGCGGCGATTGACGTTTTGATTAGTACGGCGGAAGACTGTAAACTCTCAAGGGAGTCAGCAATGCGGAATAAGGATGAGCAGGAGCCAAGCAAGCCACTTTTGTCTGACTCTGGTAGCGCTGTTATTAACGGCAACGGGTACAGCTGTGCTTTCAATCGAACTGAATCAGTACTAACCCAGCGCAAGCAAATCAGAGCCCGCATACAGGTAAGCGTGGCCTTGTAAATGTTTATTCATATGTATTCTGCAGTCGTTTACAAATAAACAATCACACGTCCTTTAACAAAGTGTGACACTGAGAGCGCATCTTCTAGGTTGTGCGAATGCTGTTTGCAACCGTATTGGTGTTTGCCATTGCCTGGTTGCCATACCGTGGGTTGTTGTGGTACAACACTTTTGCGGCCACGCCCTGGCTCAACGAGTGGTACTCCTTGTTCGCCAAGACACTCATTTATCTCAACTCGGCGATAAATCCAGTGCTTTATAACATTATGAGTGCGCGGTTCCGAAGAGCATTTTATCGGATTATCACCTGCAAAAGTAAGGGCATTTAAAGCGAAAGTGCACCCAAGACCGAGTACATATAATTACTTAATCGTCGATGTTTGCAGAAGTACGCCAGTCGCCTAAAAAAGCCAGTGGTGATGGAACGAGATCCACACTTTACGTGTAATGTTGACAGCCTAAAGTCTGTAACTCCTCAAGTCGGTTTAGATATTTGGACATTGTTGCGCAATTAGTTTACAGCGAAATGGCGAAGCTAAAAAATGAAACTCGTATGCAGAAATTCCGAGGTGATGTTTGCGGTCCCGCGAATGAACATATGCTGCAATCTGCATGCTTTGTTTTCTGCAATCCTAGCCAGTTTATTATCCGCTACTGTCCTTACAAAAGCGCAGATCATTAAAGATTTTCTGATGCTTTCAGGATGTTGGAGATATTTCAGACTTAAAAATCCTGCCCAAAAAACCCAAGAGTTGCTCATATTCCCCGGCTTCACCGCAGAAGGTTATCCTTTTCAATTAACCGCTACGCTTCAAAATTTAATAACAGGAGAATCCCTGCCAAATAAGATCAATTCTACGCCAGGTTTCCATTTTAAGGGAAACTACGACACTTTAATGCTGCATTACGGTGACAACCTTGTAGAATACAACAAAGATAATGCTTTACTTCTGCATCAAAATCTCGTGTTTTTGGAATTACAGTGTCAGTCCGGAGGGGAAAAGATGCTGCACTCATAGGTCTGAATATATTTAAAAAACTAACTAATGTTTTGTGGATAAATCTGGGTTTTTAGTATTATTAAGGATCCGGATGCGTGGAATCGTAAGGCGTATATTAAACTGATGAGCACAGGAAGAAGCAGAACCGAGACATTTCGCTGATACTGTTGGTTGCCGCGGTTAGTAAAGCGCTTTGGTCCAGTGAGTGACCTCGTTTCCGGCAGTACGCGGTTTGTTGTCACCGTAAACACAGTGGTTATTAGCCAACTGACTATCGTACATTCGAGCCAAGTATGGAATCTGGTGTGGGAATTTCCAGTTGATTTGGAGAATAAAGATTTTTCCACGGAAATGGGACACAGATCTATATCTGTGTACTCTTGAGATTTTTCCGGTATGTTTTATGCACTGCCCAAAACATGTCAGTACACTGAAGGTAAAGAAAGATTGCACATTTTGTAGCGGTTTTGCGGGCAGTTTTGGAGATTTAGAGAGTGTAACTGGTTGCGCAAAGGACTGTGAAAACATAGACAAGGAAAAATGCGTTAACGGTCGAGGCGGGTGCTCTGTACGCGATGGACTTGCGCGGTTATTAATCGAATACGCTCATCTTGCCAGCGGTTGACAGGATTATGAGTAACTGTTATTTTTGACTTCCGCCGTGCGCCGCCAACAGCGATAAGTGTCCAGGCGCTATATAGTATAACGCGCGCTGCTGGCACCAGAAAACTATTTTTTTACAAGATTAATCAACTTGTACTTACGTACACGGCTTCAGCCAAATCCACAACTACGCGTAATGTTATGTGGGGCAATATTAATTTATATGTACTGTACTTTGTTACCTAACTATACTAGCAAGCCTGTAAAATCAGTTAACCCTTGCATAGCTGCATGCATTGCTTTATTTGTCAGAAATTTAGTCAGTGCTAATATTTTGGAATAGATAAAGTGATATGAAAATGGTTCTTGCGAATTACGCCTGCCGGTTCTTCATCGCCCGTTAAATTTTAGTAACTCATTTTCTTCGACAGCTTGGAGAAAAAGTTAAGGAATAAGGATACGAGTATATCATTTTGGGTTTCACTTGAAACGGGGAGCATGCACAATAGGGAAGAAAACTTTGGGAACTTTCTTTGTACTTCGCATTTCGTGCACCAAGAAACTTTGAAGCAATACACTGGCTTTCAGGGTTCACGATAAAATCTGTTTTAAACTGATTGCTTAATGTATGGATGTGTGCCTCCTCTTTTTGATGTAAATTGTGCGGGACGCTATGCGAGAGGTATAGAATTATTACGAGATTCGTAAAAAAACACAAAGTTGACTAATGTAAAACATCGCCGAGAATGCCATATCTTTGGTGCTCGGCATGAGAAAAGACTTCAAAAGAGTCAAAAGACCCTTGCACATCTTGCACAACTTGAACAAGTGCTAGATGTAAATACCCCACAAAACTGACGAAAACGCAAGCATTATTTTATAACATGCATGAATGCGAAAAACTTCGAAGTAAAGACAATGAATAAAAGCTTAGTTTGCTTTATTATCGCCTCCGCAACTTCAAAGGAATTTGTGCGATGTTTGTAGGTAATAATTTGTTGAAGGATATCGTATGTCTTATTGCCATAATTATTATGAATCTGGTATAAAGAGTGGAAGCTACAAAAAATTGAACACCAGGCAGCCATGTCAATAACATGGCGAAAGTGATCCAGGCTTCGACTTTCATTAAGAGGATTGCACAATAAGGGCATCGCTGGCAACATCGAGTGCTTTTAAACAGCCATGGAGTGCGATGCTACCTTTGATGAATGGTTCAACTTCATTTCCTTTCAACTTCTTGTCGTTTCGGAAAATGTCAGTTTTGTCGTTACAGGGTACCGAACACCAGTGTACGGATCGTGCGGGTGCTAATGATGATAACAAGTTAATTTTGCGACGGATCCATCAGAGACCAAATACAGCTCGGCTAATTTTGTATGGGGTATAATCACATGAGCACGTGGAGCACGCGCACCATTGATTTAACTTTTGAGCGCTACGGTAGAGTAGTGACGTACGCTTCGACATGCCTGCACAAAGATGTTGCACAGCTCACTTTCCTGCAAACGACCAGAGAAAAATATGGATTCAAGAAAATTTGTGTGACCCAAAAATTTATTACAAAGCTAAACTAATTTTGATGATTTGAAGTTATTTTTTCCTTGCTGCAGGTCATTTTGTTCACTCATGCTTAGCGTTTGCAGTTGTGTGATATTCCCATGTACCATACAGGTGAAAACAGTCTGCGCTATTACACAGTTTGTTTATTGTCAAATGTGTTTGTGTATTAGTAACTTCCCTAATGTGCAAGATTAAAAAAGTTGAAATAAAAGTTCGATTAAATTTGTATTTCTCATGGAATTTTTTTAATTTTTTAAGGCAAAGTCTGCTGGCGGCTGCGCGCTTCGAGCAAAAACGCTGGTTCTACGCCACGCTTTGCCATGCTGGTCATTGCGCATTAAACACGCCCTAAACCTTATGAATTAAACATGGCTTCAGTTTTTCTGTACCTTTGACAAAAAAAATTCCAAAAAACCTGCATTAACAGCAATTACCGGTTCGGTTTACGTGAATCGGTAGTGGTCCTATCATTTATTTACATGTAATTCACGCGGTCTAAAATACTCATCGATTTCTATCGTAATTAACGCGAAGCGCAGCATCAAAATCTCCAGCAAAATTTTGTTCCATGCGTGATTTCCGGAAAACGGTTCATCGGCTTCGCGCAAAAATTTTCTTTAATTATCGTGTCGTTTATAATATAATTATATAATATATATATGGCCTTTACTCCAGTACCTCCCGGGGTGCCAGGAGCAGCGCCCATGGAGTTTTGAGGAGAATGTATATTATTAAATTTCTAACGTTTCAATCTCGGCCATATACCGTACAGAGGTGTTTCAAATAGGAGTAACTGAGAAGAGTATTCATTTTCTTGCAGCCTTGGGCGAAATATATCAGACCTCACCGAATATCAGACCCATAACGTCCATTTTACTCCATTTTCTTTTAAAATCTATTCAAAAATTTCGTATTTTAATATCTAACAATACGGCGCGAATCATTGGGCGTCGGCGGGATACAAACTGTAACCGTGTGTATGGTCACGGTGTTACAAAAGTAAGCCGTTGAGTGTTCCTGCCGCAGGAACACTCAGCGGCGTCATGCAGTGCTCTGTGCGCTCCACATACGATAAATGGCTTTCTGAAAATTCTGTGGTCACGTGTACGTTGAAGGTTGCTCGCAGCCGTGCACTGGCTGTTTTGCACTACAAGGTTTTGCACAACAGCATCCAGCATCCTGTTGCATGCTTCCGGTTTGGCATCAGTTTACCGAACATCCTGTCTCCCAGAGATAATCCGATATTACTGCCTGCGGTGGATTCTTTGACTTGTCTCGGTCGGCAAATCTTGTGCGGATGGAATACTTATTGCGTGATAACAACGTATATGGACACTGCTGAGTCGCGGTAGCTTTGCGTTTATATAACGACGCACTCACTCTTTTCCACCATCTACCGCAGCTGCTCCACTAATCAAGCCCAACAAGGCATTCTGTTGTTTCCAGGTAGAGCTTCAGATCTGTGTTTGTGTATCGCTGAATAGAATTCTTCTTCGACACGAAGAGAGCATCAGAACCGATGCGCAATGGGTAACCGAACCTGTAGTAATGAAATTATTGCATACAGTTCCAACACTTCCAACAACCATAGTCTGGACGCTGCCTGCCTCCACTACGGCTACTGGGGCGATCCCCTAGCTGCAATCGAGATAACCACCATGGTGGCGGTGATTGTTTGTAATGTTGCCGGCCTCGCCAGCCTCGTTCGTACCACCGCAGTCAGTGATTCATTCAAACCGTACATCGCGAACCTCCTACTAGCCAACCTGGCCATGGCCGTCCTGGAGAATCCCCTGGATATCCTCTTCGAGTTATCGTGCGATCGATGGACGCTGTCATGGGCAGTTTGCGATTTATTCCTGTACTGCAACTACGTTTTTACCGGCTGGGAGATGCATGCCCACCTTCTCATTACCCTCAACCGCTTCTGGGCGCTGATCTTCCCTTACCATTACCGCCAGCGGCACACCATCACCACCAGCTTGTGCCTCACGTTTGGCACATTCATTTACGTTCATCTATGGACTGTACCTGGTCTAGTCCTGGATTCCCTTTTCTACCGAATAATGGAGGAAGAGTGCGAGGTCAACGGCATTGCGCAACGGTTATGGGTGCTGGCGGTGCATATCTTCCTGTTTCTGGCTCCGATTGTCTTTGTGGCGGGATCCTACGTGTACCTTGTGGTTAGACAGAGGATGCGTCAGAGTACTCGTCCCGCTGGACCGGGTTTGGAGGCATACCCTCGGCCGACAGAGGATGGCATAAGCGAGCCTCCTGCAGCGCACAAGAAGGCGCGTCGACAAAACAATCGGGCTTTCGTCATCCTGACGCTGCTGACCTGTAGTGTGGTAGTCACCTGGACGCCCTACCAGGTCTGCCAGTTGCTACAGGTCTTGGGCGTGACGGTAAACGATGACATGGTAGGCGCCCTGGATGTTTTGTGGATTACCCAGTCTATCTTGGATCCGCTATTGTCGACCAGCATTATCTATGACATACGAAATGTTTTAAAAAAGTAGCATTTAAATGTTTTAAAAAAGTAGCGATCATGCCGGTATACGGTACACAATTTTTGCCACATGCACGGCAACTTTTGCACCCTCAACGGCAACTTTCGCGCACCCTCCGATAAATGTTTCCTGGCATTCTGTAACCGAAAGATGTGCGCATCGTCAGCCGTTCTTGCGCGCATTATCCTTTTTGGGAATTATAGCGTCAAATGTTAAAACTTTAAAACAACTGTACTCAGAATCACGTTATCGAACGATTCCCTTCAAATTTACAAGAGCACGCAACTAATTTTTAAAACTGTTTTCACATCGAACCAGATTTTCATCACGTGTATTAATTACGTATCTCACGGATTGACATTTGCATGCTTGTTGACAAACTGAGCGTTCGGAATTACAGCGAACATTACAAAATTATGGGTTATGCGTAAATCCATATTACGGCGCGCCACGCCACACTGTTTAAACACGTAACATGCATTTGGCTGGCTAGTGGCTTCTTGCACGCAAAATATTTTAATGAGAATAACTGTAATGGCGGAAGGTGGCTAGAAAACGATCGTTGCAGTATGAGAGACAATCTAGCTGCGGAGCGCATCTACGCAACTAACTTATGTTATGGCCGGCATTCTAGCGCCAACTTCGCGCTAATATTGCTCTACCTGTAATTGACCATGTCAAGGCTTGACATGCTTAGTTTGTCATTAAACAGAAGCGGTGCGTTGTACGTTGCGGTTGCCATTAAACAGAAGCTGCAGTAGAGCAGTGCAACAGGAAAGGGCGTAACGAATAGTCCAATCTACAAGTACATTACACACCCAACGAAGTATCTGAAGTGGACTTCAACAATCATGCAAAAGCGATGCGTAAGCAAGGCTTCCCTAGTCTGGGTAAGACAGAACAATTCCTTTACTGTATCCGCTCGCACATCTTGGACCACAGAGTGTGTGTACGGGAAAAACGCGCATTCAATATACACACTCTAACCGGGCCAAACGCGCGATTCGCGAATCGCGCGATTTGATAAATTTCTGATGTCTTTGCAACATCTGGTCTGGAGAACTTCTTGAATATAAAAAAAAATTGGAGCTCTAACAATTTTAAACTTGTTTATGCTCGATAGCAGCCATTAACATACAGCTTTGCCGTAAGCACGAGTTACAAACTGATTTGTTGTGGTTTTTGGGGTACCCCTGGAGTGGGATGGGTACGTTCAGCGTCAACATTCTTGATGGCGATGAACCACAGAACAATTCGAGCTTTCAGCTGCAGAACCTTTTTTCCAGAGTGAACTGCCATTTAAATGAAAATTCTTGGTTTATTGGACAAATTCACAAGAAGAACTGTTCATCTTGAAACCAAATGAGCAATATTTCGTAGTCGTGCATTTTGCCCGGTTAGAGTGTGTATATTGAATGCGTGTTTTTCCCGTACACAAACTCTGTGGTTCAAGATGTGCGAGCGGATACAGTATTGTCACTTCGACATTCCGAGCAACAATCGCTTTCTCATCACATTTGAGCCAACCAGCCATTTTCAGTATGCGAACTGTTTGCAGTTCATGGGAGCGGGTAATCGGTTTTTGGAAATGCCGAAGTGCGTAATGCGTGTCCAAACATCAGACACACATTGTTACTCAAAATCGACCACAAAGGTTTGTGTTTGTGCTCCCACTGCGCTAAGTGTCCAGTGATGTAACCAGGTGAGCACACCAAGTCGGCTCTGTTTCCACCTGCATGCTATTTCAATAAAATTACACGGGATGTCTGTCGCATTCCCTCGGGGCCGGTCATGATATAGCGCTTTATGGATGTGGCGAGGATTTCTACGCAAACTCCCGTTTTATTTTAATAACAGCCCTGTCATATTTGAGACCGAATGTTTGACCGGTACGGATCTATCCAGCTGATCGAAGCGCAGCTGCATTACCGCACAAAAACATTACCGTGTTATAGCAAGGCACAACTTTACAAGGACAATAAGTATCTGTCTGCCCCTTTCAGCACTTCTCCTGAAACTGCTGCTATGCACCTAATCTGGAATTTTTGGCTTGTTGCTCTGCAGGTATTCGGTTTTCTCAACAGTGTCCCAAACGAATCGCTGTTCATTTCATGTTGCCGTAAAGCTATAACAGTTGTGCTTGGGACTTCACAAGTTGCTGCCATAGTCTATTCGTTCTACAATGAAATGTCCAAAGACATCGATCCCGATACTTCATTTACTGCCGCGATTCTGTTTTTCCTTACGTACGTGTCCGAAATCAACTCTGCAGTTATTTGTTTCCTGGTCTTTTGGCGAGCAAGCGAAACTGTCCGAGAGTGTGTGATGAATGTGGCGGCAAAAGCTGGCGTGTTTCTTGACAAACGGGATAAGTTTATCATATACACTATTATAGCAGCCAACTTGTGCGCCGCAGTTGCTTTTGTGGCAGTATTTGTCGGGAGCATCGAAATTCATGCCGTGATGAAAGTGGACATACACGAAGATTACGCCTTAGTCAAGCGTTTTATCAGTTTCGGCGTGTACAAGTGTTTGTATGTTCTTTATTGCTTCTTCTATGAAATGGGACATGCCGGCCGATCACTTCTTTTGAGTTTTGAAATTTCTTTCGCTTTGCTCGCCGGCAAGTTGTTTCGCAAGATCACCGATCAGCTCAGTAAGGAACCGAAGTCTGATAAGACAGTACATTCGCTGCTGCAGGAACATCGGGAGGCAGCAGATTCGGTCAGGACATTCGATTCTGTCATGTCACTGGTGAACGCCGTTTTGTTCCTGCAGTACCTGACGATGACAGTTTATTACGCTCACGAAGCGGCAGCTGATTACAAGACGAATCATGCCGTCAAGATGGATCATCTGTTACTGGTTGCGGAGAATATTTACCTCTTAACAGTTAGTGGTTGTGCGCAGATCTATGTTAATGAGCAAGTAAGTCAGCGTTCGTCAGTACGACCGTTAAAAAATTGAGTAGGGTATTCTGAAGGTGGATGGCATCGGGTCACTGATTAAACTGATAAATTAACGACAGTACAAACCAGTCTAGTTTGCTTTCTTTTTTACGTGGCTTCCTTCTGAACTGATCGATTTGTAATTCTTTCGTAGGCGTCACTCATCCTACGGCTTCCCTATGGACCCAGTGAAGCGTTCGATGCGTACACAAATATTTACCAACGAAATCCTGCTGGGAGCACAATCGGGGGTGTTTCGGTAACCAGGGAATCAGTTGCTGCTGTGAGCGAATTAAAATGACCTTTAATAAACAATGTACTCTCTTTGTCAATGACTCAACGGCTCACACTTACCATAATTTGCAGGCAGCCGGAGCGATTGTCAGTTACATTTTATTGTTCTCCGAACTGGCCGATGGCGAAAAACCTGACGACTGCGCTGGCATGCGCCGACTGCTGGCGGAAATTTCGGGAAATATTACGTTGAATCACATTTTTAACCACAGCCATCCCGTTATAAACTAATTTTTTTTAAATAATCCAGCTGTGCAATGATCGTCAAGATTTGGCAAAGTGATTCGTTGGTGACCGGCAATTTCTTTTTAATGTAATTTTGAAAAGTCCAAAATAAGCGAGTGCTTTTTTCCTGGCAATATTAACGTTGTAAGATCAGACAAAATGTAAAGGATGGTGGTTCCTGCAAGATTGATAAAATAACGTTTTTGCTTGCTTCTAAACGCTTAGAGTAGTTAAACCGAACCAAGGTTTAAAAAAAGGTATAGATAGAAGTATACTTAAAACGTTCGCTTTTGCGAATCACTTTTTTTAATGCTTTATACCATTATGCATGCGAAATCTATATTTGCCCGGAATGGTTTGTCAGTGACAGTTTTATGCATGACGTCTTGCTGTGGCGGGATATAATATAAATGTACAGATCTTTTTTCGGTACCTCTGGACTTACCGGAGTATCTCAGTAGACAGTATCTGGTCAGTGTGCTTATGCGGAGCCCACTGCTATGTGCTTCATTCGGTCCAGACAACCTACTCGTAGTGCTTGTGTGCATTCGGTAGCAGTGACCGATGCAGAGACACCACGAGTTACATGTAGCTTGAGTATATAACTGAACACGAGATTGATCCAGCAGCTTTTCAGATTCTGGAGAGGATAAAGGTAAAAATATCATACCGCTTCGCATTTTTGTATCATATTCGTTTTATGCATTATTTCTTATTGCTATCCAAGTGATACGGATACCACGGGCATGGGGTACCAATTCTTCCGTACTAACCGGCTAAACTGCATTGCTAATAATTCAGCAGACCCGTTTTACGGTATTAATGAGACCAAATTCCATACTGTATTTCATTCGGTGTATGCTTATATACCCAACAGCTGAGTCACCGCAAAGGTTCGGTTAAATGTGAACGCAATACGGTGTTAAAACTTGATACTGGTAATACTTAAGGGAAATAGCCCGGTACATGGTGCCAAATTTGGGTACATACACGAAAACTTCCCTTTCGCGCACTTTTTGCATCGTTTTGTTGCATTCTGTCGCCAAATGATTTGTATACTTTGGTGTGAAAACCGTTTGTGCGCGCAACATCCGGTTGGTAAGTTATGGGCGAAATAAAATTCTGGAAAGTTTAAACGCAGGAAGGTGTACCAAAAGTCTCATTATGAACCGATCTCTTTCGAATTTTGCAGCAAAAGGCGCATAAGTAGGAAGGAAGAACGTTTTGATGGCAAAATCTTGAGAACATATAAAAGAGAGCATTGTTGAGCAGCAGCAAAATGACGTAAGCATCGAAAGAAACGCGCTGGTGTTTTACTTTAATTACCACAAGCAAAACTCCACAGTTAAGGAAAAAAGCAACCAAGGTTTTGACGACATTGATCGGCCCGACAAGGGGAACACTCCCAAGATTGTAGATAACGGGTGGAGGCAGCTGTGTTGCATTGCACAAAATTCACGAGAATTTACATGAATAGTTTAATGTCATCTTTTGAGCTATATTCGTCAGCTGACAGCCCTATGACTTTCCGCCACCAATAAAATTCACTTGGCAGATCACAGGTACCTAACATACGAGATGTGCAGCGGGCTGCCTAAGAAATGGTATTCACGATAATGTAGGATCGACATGGTTCGGTGATTTTCCGCACGATGGAAGTCACGACAAGGTTGATCAATTAAGAAAACAGACACTACTCGTTTAAGGCTCTACAGGCAATTTTCTTTGCATTGCGTTTTATCACTAATCACTTCGAAGTCTCTCTTATTCTTTCACTTTTCTTCTGTGCTTTAAAGATTATTTACGTCAGCAGCAGAAAGAGAAAGTGGATTATCGTAATGTTCCCTGGTCAAAACCCAGCAGGATTCCTTGCTGCTCTCACGGTAGCCGGCGGCTCGGTTGTTCAAAATAAATAAATAAAAGATTCCATCCAACAACAGATTCCATCCGGTCTGCTAATTTGCTAAGACACACCGGACATGCAACCAGAATCGTTAATGTAATTAGCGACCACCAGAGACAGATAAGAGCAGCAAGTTGTACGCAATAGAATAAGCAACGCGTACGTCAGAGCACGTAAGTAATACACGCAATTACACTACTATCGTGTTGATATGCTACTGTACTCAATGTACTACGGAGAATGGTACCGGTAATCGCAGCGACTGCCAGCAGCTGAGAAATTAAAAATCTTCAATGTAATCCAAGTGGGGTCCTGTGGCATACCGTTTACTAAGTTTTTGTTGCAGCTGTTATTCTTTTTCAAAACCGACGATGGCCTAAGCACGACTAATACTGTAGAGTAATCCTGCACTTGACAGCTTTTTCGTATGCCATGTGCTGTACGGCACTGTACGTAGTACTGGCAAACGTTCAGCTGGCTCAGAGCCGACTGCACTGCACTCGCATGTGCTGCCTGGCTAGTCACAGGAATCACATATGAATGGTGAATGTGCTCGTACGTACAGCGTCCGTCTATCTGAGCTGTAAAAAAAGCTATCAAGTGCAGGGTTACTCTACAGTACACTTCTGTGAGAATACAACTTCTCAAAATTCTGTCATCGCTGACGTGGACAAAACAAAAGAATACTACAGCTTCCAGACAAATAATACAAATACGTATTACAAATTCCTTTTTGTTATTGTTGCATGTCTATGTGGAACGGGGACAGCGGAAATGTATTTCCGTGGGCCCTCTATAAGAGGCAGCCAAAGGTGTCACAGTACGTACTTCACAGTGCATGCATGCCACAGTACGTACCGGTGCTTCCAGAAAAACCGTATACAAATGCAATAAGAATTAGTGACTATCGATAACATCAAGTAACAACGATCAAACAGCTAAAATGCAAGTTAAAAACTGCACAGCTACCAAAACATTTTTCAGCCGTTTTCAACCAATGAGAGCGTTACATCCGTCACTGTAAACAAATATGCGAGCAATGGAACCGTAGTCCGTAGGGATGTGTGAGCGGTTTTGGGACTCTATTTTGCGGTCAACGTTATCCCAGAAACCAGTTGGCTCGCGGCACCAGTACATAACGTGAGCGAATTTTGCGGAGAAAGCGATGTACCAAGGATGCATCTTGGTGCTGCTTGAAGCCCTTTCCGTTTTCCAAAATGGTAGAGAGCAGCTTCGAATTGGATCGTAGCAGCCTCGCGGATGTGCTCAGTGGCTTATCTTCGAAGTGTTTCACGCGCACAACGTGCGCCAGATTATTCGGCAAGCTGGAATCTTCCGCCTGGTAGCCGGATACGAATGCCGTAGATGCTGTGGCGCGTTGTAACATGAAACAAAGTCCGCGCCGCCGGGCTGCGACCTGGACAGTGGGCTGGTTGGAGTGCTTCAAAGAAGCGAGAATCGATATAGACACACAAGCAGCTAAAATAATTACAACGCTAATCACCACGGCCGCGATCAAGACGCGGTGTTTGACGGATGACTTGCCATTAAACATTTTAGCCAAAAGCAATAACAAAGCAGCAATATACAGTCTGTATTTTGATGTTGACTCTCACGAAAAGCAAAACATAAGCTGCCGTACGCGTTCTTGTGTAAATGCTTATATACGCCTTAAGCGTATGTACCTTCTAAACATTTCGTTACGCGTTTCTAACAAACCCGATTCATGTTGAGCGTTGCACTGTGTGTGCGTCATTATTGGACTCCATCAAGCTGTTGTCGTGCATCATTTTACCGATCTCAAGGATAATGTCAATACCTTTGAGAAAAAGTGCAATTTTATAATGGATTTGGTGGAAGGATACTGATGCTGTTGCGTGAGCATGTTTGTGGCTTGCTTCCGTCTCGAAAATGTCTCCAACAGGATGCGCGCTCTGAAACGGAAGCGAAAAAGTATGGATTTGACATAAAGTGGCCTGCTTGGGAATGTTGTTCCGGGAAGGAGGCGCCGACTTATTACTTAATGATCTCTCCCAACTTCAGCAGGGCAAAAGCAAAGTAGTACCTAATGTGTGTTGGATTGCAATTGGTCAATTTAAGTAACCGAGATACCAGTTTCTTATTGGCTGCTAGCCAGGTGGAAGAAGCAGCAGATTGCCAGAGCACATCAGTACCTGTTCACGCAACACAAGCCACGCGGTAGCACGTCAGGTGACGCAATTGGTTTCTGAATTGCCAGTTCAGAACTGGAAAATTGCGCTACTTGTTGATCAGCATCCATAGTTAAAGCTTTAAAATTCTAACATAATTAACATTATTATATGTTACATAGGCTAACATTATTATATTACATATTCTGCGCTTCCCCGAGACGAATCAGAGAATAATTTCTGGTTAAAAAATTTATTGGCACTAAAGCCGTTCAGAGCAATCCGTGCTGACATAGGAAAGTACCACTTCCGTGACTAGCACTTTGGTAAGAATTTGTTTCCTTATCCGAAATTTGTGGAAACTGCGAACTTAAAATTGTACCACTGCATGACCATTTGCTAGTGCTTTGTAAACCGGCAGCAAACTGCCCAATTAACCAGATCCGGAACTAACTGGGTAATAATCAGTGAAACCACTTTATTGCGTATCTTTAGCCCGATAATTCCGTCCTTATGCGGATACGTATCCAATCGTGCTGAATTTGAGGTCCCAGTGCAAATCATTTTATCCTGGATGAACAACTCTGGCGCAAGGGGACTGCAGTAATTTACGCATGCGATTAAGTTAAATAAGGGCCAATATCCGGCTCGTCATCTGTACTGTACACCTTTATGGAATACCATAGTAGAATATAAATATAATGCGTTTCATATGGATGTGTATGGCTGATGTCTTCCATTACCGCTGCCTTGATCTTGAGAATTCACATATAACATGAGAATTATGTTGCAGTTAAGCCTTCGTCGAAAGCTGATGTCCGTACCTCTGAAAACCCGGGCAGAAGGCACGGGTGCAAGTTGGTGCTTATTTGATTTTAAGACGAACGCTTTTTCATTCGAATCTGTCGAATAAATCAAATTTTTTCCTTATTTTTTAAGTTATATTGGAAAAATATTCTATTGCTAAATTAATCATCGACAGGTATTATATATCCAGAACACTTTCGCCAGACGCACTTTCCCCCCAGGCACTCCAAAAACCACAACGAACCAGTTTTCAAAATCCTAAATCACATCAGAGCTCTACGTTTATGGCTGATTACGTAGCCAGCCCATAAACGTAGAGCTCTGATACAGGCGAGCTCCGCAAGCGGACGGCAGTGTGTGAAAACCAGCCACCGTCCGGAAGTCACTGTTTCTGACGCTTAGCAAATGTTCGAAACATGGACTTTAGGCATGGCTCTTTCAGGTTGTGATCTGCTAGCAAAAGCAAGACCATAACTAAAATGTACAGAAAATGCGCTCTACAAGGAAATGTTAGCTGTCACGTGGAAATCTATTACTCCAGTGAATTATGGCCGCCAGCTCTTTGCACCTAAACTTTAGTATTATAGATTTTATCCTGCGCACCTGTAGTTTGTCCTGTTCGCGCTACGCTGAATTCTCTGTTCGGTAGACCATTCATACAGCCAATCAGTGTGTTTTCACCGGCACCGCCCTGCTACCGTACATTACGAATTCACCGCGTATTTTAAATTGTCTATTTCACAAATTCAAGGATGCTCACAGCACCCTCAAGGCATGAATAGTGCAATACAGGTTGAATACATCAGAATACTGGTGGAATACGCAGATGCCAAGAATACAAAGCTAAATAACTTGGGTAGCATTTTTGGTACGAAATCGTTCACAAATCGACTTGTAGGTATTGTCACAGAGACAAATGATAAAACGGAAAATGAAGGCAAATCTGACTGCTAAATCGTGATCACTGACAAATACCACCCTAATCTAAATGAATCGGCACGGAAACCACTGAAAAACACTCGAAAAGTCCCAGATCCCGACTTTCTAAACAAAGGAAACCTTTATTCAAAAGCGAGAAACAAGACTGAAAAATCGCATAGCCCGGCGAAGCCGCATAGCCCACAAATACAGCGCTAACGAACAGGAATGAACAGAAATGAACTACCGCTGGAAAGAACCAATCATCGCTAAACAACGCTAAAGGCGCATCCCATGTTACACGTCCCCCCGGAACGAAAAGGCTGGACCCCAGCCGCACAAAGAAAGGTAATAGAATAAGAAAACTATAATGATACGTATTCATGTTGCGAAAATTTCGAAAAATAACTAGACATCGCGCCCTTAAAATACAATCGTCAGTGAGAGACAATGACACCTATTTCGGATCCTCCGCGCCAAGGTCCTCTTTCTCTGCATCTTCCGGTGTTCCCGACATCTCCGCGTCGCCACTGTTATGAGCTTGTTCATCCTGCGCGTCGACCAACATTTCTTCTGACACAGAATCGCCTCGCTGCTCTTCGGTTTTTCGTCGGTGCTCCGCGGCTTGAAGCCGGATGTCGCTCAGCGGAAGGTTACGCAAGACTAACGGAATGTAATTCTCGTAGTCAACATTCACATACACGGGGCCACTTTCTTCCGATGTAGTCGGATTGGGGACAGCGTAGAAGAATCCGAATCCGTCCCAAGGCTCATAATAAACAGGTGCCGGCTTCACCCCGATGTTACTTGGAATGGGGAAGTGTTGTTGTGCGGCAATCTCCAGTGCGGTGTGGCTGCCGGCAGGGACTGGCAGTTGCAAGATCATGCGTGCCAATAGCGGTGCAAACCGTGCGACGATCTTGATACGGCGGGCCAGGGCGAGATACTTCTCGGCATTGCCGGAGACAAACGCATGATGAATGCGAACCCACTCGCGGAGGGTGGAGTCGGCCGGAAGCGAGCGGCTGCCACTGTAGTGAAATGGATACCCGTTGTACTGATGTTCCAACAGGGTAGGTGGGCCAATGTACCACCGCACCACGCGTGGATCTCCGGGTACGACGGGAAATCGGTACATGTCCTCGTATTCTTCATCGGTGAGCGACAAATCATTAAGAAAATCCCAGTAATCATCCATTCGCATGTCGCGCAGAAGCCACGGCATGGGTGGACCGCGTCCATCTGGTGGCTGTGCTGACGAGTTGGCGGCGGCCGTTGTATTTGCGCTTCCGGACTTAGATGACACTGTGGTGACGGCCGACAACACCGCACTCCCGGGCTCAGGCTGTTGCGCCGGTACGACATTGGCCGCGTTGTACACTGCTGCCAACTGCTGAGACGGGGTAGGCAGAAGACTCATTGCTACCGGCCGCGGAAGTAAGCCTCCTTTCCAGGCTGGAGTTACAGTCAGGGACGGCACTACAAATGGCGGAGGCATGTAGACCGGCGGCGGCGGCGGAGGGTTTTGCTTCTCACGCTGCTTCTGCATCATGATTGCCAGTCCGCGCATGTATATGTTGGGCATGCTGCCGAGTCCCACCTCCATCAACGCGTCCACTTGCGGCAGGGGAAGCAACCCCGAGCGCGTTGTGCCGTGCTGTAGAATAAAACAGCATTATAAGCGTCCAGCGCAATTACTGCGAGAGCACGCATAGAGCGAGACGCTTATCTTTCCGGACAATATCTCAAAACCTTAGGTGCCAAGCGCCAAAATGGCGAGCTATACCGCGTAAGCGCAGCACACGTACGAATGTTCACTAAACTTTAAAAACTTTTTCGCATTTTCTGCGCACCGGAGTCTAGTAGTCCCAGGCTAAAAAGTAAGGCGCTGCTGCGTGATTCACTTGCGTCGAACGCTGGCTGCATTTCGCAATATGCGCAGTTCTCGTGTTACTCACGCGGCAACCCGATTGCTTCCTTACAGTTAGTCATTACATTACTTATTATCAACTGAACACGAAAAACAAATTATGCGTCGGTTGTTTATCGCAGACTGCGCACCAAACGTGAAAACGCAGCAACAACTACTCTAAATTATACTTCCCACGTACCTCCTCGCGCAGAAACAGCGATTCGAAGCGCTCTTGCGGGCGGAGATTACGTGCTTCTTCGCGGATGGTAGGAAAAACTGCTGCACAATCATCTACAAATGCTTGCAGTGCTTTATCAGCGTACACGTAGTTCTCAGCCAAACGCTGAAACCCTGCTGGAATGTTGGAAGCGGCGGCGATAATCGCATAACGCGTGTTTTCGTCAGAGACGGACTCCAGCGCACGGAAATAAACCTGGTCAAATTGCGTGTGCGTGCAGCTATCCGTCACCAGTTGACCCGAAAACTGGAATCGAGCGTGGATCGCTGCCCTGCACGCAGCACACGGAAAAATGTCCGAATTGTTTCGCGATCCCATCACGCTAACTAGGCCACTCACTGTGAATATGTATCTACGATAGATTCAGAACAAAATATATCATAAATTAACGTTCAACTAACGAATGCTACCAACTAGCAGGACAGCTGAGATTCGTGCAAGCACGGCTAAATATAACGAACCCCATGGCTAAAATATCACTGCGTTGTGTGCACTCCACGATAATCTCGTGTGATGAGCCGTCTGGGACGCAAATTATACCGATCTTGCCTATCGCAACGTTCCCGCTTAGCTACGTCTGAGTCACTGTCAGCAACTTCCCAATCTTCTGACTGAGAGTTCTCTTGTTGTGTCTCGACTGTCTTATCAGTACTCCTCTGAATGTACGGTTGAATGCGCTTAACATTCACTGTATCCGGCTTAGCACGCCGCCGGGTTTTAAACATTGGCTTTAGTAAATATACGTTATCACTACATTTGATTACAACTTCATACGGAAATTTGTACTTTGGTGTTAACTTAGTATTGACTCCGACTTTACGTGAATAGTTTCGAACTTTCACTAACTGTCCCGGTTCAAATGACACTGCTTTTCGGTGTTCGTCAATACGCGAGGCATCGCGGCTTTGCTGTAATTCTATTCTAGATTTCGCAAGATCGTACGATCGTGACATCCGGTCTGCTAGCTGCTGTACATAATCGGGATAGCCCCCGTACCGTGATGGTTCACATGTCTTAAAAATAGTATCAAACGGGAAGTTCGCTTCTCGACCGAAAAGCAAGTAAAACGGTGTGAATCGAGTGGTTGTTTGTTCCACCGCATTATGCGCAAAAACCACCGACGTCACGTACAAATCCCAGTCCTTTTGATTGTCACTAGTGAACATCGAAATCGCTTGCGAGATAGGACCCATCTGCCGTTCGCATAGTGCGTTTCCTTGCGGATGATACGCCGTTGTGGCGACGTGCTTTAGCCCTATGAGCTCGGTGACTTTTTCGATCAGATCGTTTCGAAAATGTGTACCGCGGTCAGTCAGTAACTTGAAAGGGGTACCGTACTTGAAAATAACGTGCTCTACAAAAAATTCAGCTACGACTGCTGCGGTGTCATTCGGAATCGGTTGAGCAATGACAAAACGACTGAGATGGTCGATCGCCACAACAACATAACGGTTTTTACGGCATGTTGCCGGAAATGGACCAAGGATGTCCATCGCTACCGTATGAAAAGGCGCAGGTATCGGCATATGCTGCATTTCGCCTTGTGCCTTTAGTTTTGACAGTTTGCGGGCCTGACATTCGTCACAACTTTCTACGTATTCTTTTACGTACTTATGCATACCCGGCCACCAGAATCGTGGAACTATAAGGTCCCACGTTTTCCGAAATCCCATATGCGCCGTAATGGGTAAGTCATGACATGCTTTCAGAATTTCTGCTCTAAGCTGACCAGGTACCACAAAACAGCAGTGCTTGCTGGTTAAGTACCGCTTATAGCGATAAAGTACGCCATGTTTAATACAGTAATCTGCCTTGTACCAGCGGTTATTCTCAGACTGACCGTTCGCCATGTCCTCAATAATCGTCCGAAGACGTACATCCTTTGCCTGTTCTGCCCGGAGATACTCGTAGTCTTGTAAGTCCACATCAGCATCGCCTATGCATGTGCTAGCAGCAACTGCAGTAAGATGTACACTTTGGCAGTTAACTAAGCCCATACTGTGAGATACGGGAGGAAGATCAATTTCTTCCTCAGGTGCTGCTGCATCGACCGGAAAACGACTTAAACAGTCGACGTTGCCGTGTAAACACGCTTTCCTGTATTCTACAGTCATGTCAAGCGCACTTAACCACAAAGCCCATCGTACGCATCGCGGATTAGTTCCCCGCGTTTTTAACAACGATACCAGAGCTTGATGGTCGGTTCTCACCGTGAAACTGGTGAACTCAATGTAATGCCTAAACTTAGTGACAGCGAAGACTACCGCTAAACACTCCTTCTCTGTAATCGGGTAGTTACGTTCATGATTTGATAACGTACGACTAGCGCATGCTACAATGTGCCCGTCTTGCGACAATATGGCACCTACCCCGTGCCCACAAGCATCACATTCGATGACAGTTGGTCGACTTGGGTCGAAGCGTGCTAGCACCGGTGCAGTGGTCAGAGCATTTTTCAACGTAGCAAAACTTTTATCATGTACTGCATTCCATCCCGTCTTGACATCGATATCTTTTCGCGTTAACGCGTACAATGGATCCGCAATATGCGAGAACCCTTTTATAAACTTCCTGTAATAGCTAGCCAAACCTAGAAATGACTTAATATCGGTTGCGGACTTGGGAACCGGAAAACGCTCAATTGCGGCAATCTTTTCTGGGTCCGTACGTATGCCGTGACAATCGATAATGTGCCCTAAAAACTTAGTTTCGTTGTATGCAAACGAACATTTAGCGGGCTGAATGGTTAACCCGGCACTGCTGATCGCTTGGAGAACGGTTTCTAACCGATCAGCGTGCTCCTCAAAGCTGTTAGCAAATATAATAATATCATCTATGTACACAAGACACATGGTCCATTTCAGTGCACCTAGTATAGTGTCCATTGTAAGCTGAAATGTTGCTGGTGCATTGCACAACCCGAACGGCATACGAAGAAATTCGTACAAGCCGTCTTGGGTTGTGAACGCAGTTTTCGGTTGATCTTCGGGAGCGACCGGTATTTGCCAGAAACCCGAATAGCAGTCGATGCTGCTGTACCAACTACTATTGCCGACAGCTTCCAGCAAATCCTCCGGTAGCGGCAATGGGTACACGTTTTTACGTGTCAGCGAATTTAGCTGCTTAAAATCGATACAGAACCGTACGCCTCTACCTCCTGGCTTTTGAACAATTACAACCGGTGAACTCCAAGGCGAGCGCGACTTTTGTATTATACCTTTTTCTAACATTTTGTCGACCTCGTCTTGTATAAGTTTTCTGCCGTGCCACGATGTCCGCCGCGGAGCGGATTTAAACGGCTTAGAGTCACCGGTGTCGATTGTATGCGCATTGAAGTCCGTCTGACCGTACGGTTTACGTTTCGTCGGAAACAGTCCGCGCTGTGAGCGGAGTATTCGCATTATGCGCTCTCGCTGTTCAGCGTTTAAAGAAGAATTAATATTTACGGTTTTCAATGCTTCTTCAAATTCCAAATTTTCTTCATCTGTAAATGTGCCAACGTCACCCGTACAACACGTCAGATCGAGGTCTTCTTCGTACGACTCGATAGTCCCTACGAGCGTACCTTTACGTATTATACGAGGATTGTCATTAGGGTTTACCACAAATAAGTCCAGACGGTTTTCGAATACGTTGACAACGGAATTCGGTATGGCTACCGTTAAGTGATTGGACAGTACCTCATTCTGAAAAAATACGCACCGCTGCTGCTTAACCTTTACTCTAGGTTTTGCGTGGAAAAATACAGCGCTACGCGGCGGGATAGTCACCGAATGCGTCGCATAAGTACGGACGGGTTTAGAATGCACTACGGGCTCTACCTTATTGGTGCTCGAGTCTAGCGGAAGTTCACCCGCTATGTCGTTATCCCAGCCCGACGCCTTGTCGACAGTTTCTGCGCTAAACACGACATGTTTTTGCTGAACGTCTACTTTAGGGAAAGACTGTTGCTGACGTTTAAAAGAACTCATAGTAACAGTAGCTTTCAGACTGTTTATCAGTGAAAACGCCTCGATAGCATTGCGCGTAATTGCGGCTTCAGCCGAATTCAGACAACCATTCCAGTGAATGACGGCATACTTAATGTTCTCGTGGGGCGGGATAACCATAATCTTATATCCCTGTAAGTATGGGCAAGCATACACTTCAGTTAAAAACTGGGAAATCGCAACGGACGAAAGACTGCACCTGTCGTCCCATTGAATGTCCACCCACTGAATCGTCTGTTCTACACAATCATTCGGCAGTATGTTAGCTTTTAACAGGTCTACACATTTAGGTTTCCGTATAAAAAATTCCATTCCCAATAAAAACTGCTGCTGAATGTCCGCGACAAATACGGCGTGCGCATACGTTGCGTTCAAAAACTTAACATTTACTATAGTGTACAATGTTAGTGGTTGCACCTTACCCGTAATGCCGCGCATATACAGCGGACTGCCGCTTCGTATAAGATCATTATATACGATTCCTTGTTGATCACAAAACGCTTCGGAAATTAGCGAGAAATCTGAACCAGTATCTATTAGCGCGGGAACATCGTACCCGTTAACTGTAACGTTAAACCGGAAATGCTGTGCTATGATAGGAATATCAGTCTCAAGCCGTTCAACAGCACTCACTGTCGCCGGAAGTTCCGTGCTAGCAGCAGCGTTAGCTGACCCACGGTAATCCGAAAATTTTCGGTAACCTGTACCTCCCGGCACTGCATTATAACTAGCATCCTTCTCACTAAGAGGTAATTCTAGCGTACCGACAGCTACACCTCCCACTACTGTCGGCTCCCGTTTTTTGGCGGTCCCGCACTCGGTGGGCGGCTGCCCGCATTATCTGCGCTATCGCGTAATGACTCGCGGCGTTGTCGACGCTGCACCTGGTACTCGCGCACAGACGGCGGAAGTTTGGCCGGGTCGACCTGATACCACTTACAGCTGGGGCTTACATGGCCTTTTTCTCCACACGTCCAGCAAGTTATGTTGCTGGGGGTGGGCGGTCGACTTGTCCCTTGATTAGTCCCTGAATCAGTTGGCCTGCTATTCTGCTGCTCGGTTTCTGAGAATGAGATTAAATCACCCGTCGACCGTTCTGAGAACGAACTGCGCCTATGGCGATTCCTATTGAAATGATCACTGACATGCAACTGTGACTGAATTCCCACTGCAGCATCGCTGGTTTTCTGCGCGAGAATGCGGCTACAGTTACGTGCTTGCAGGAGGAAGTTTGCAGGTGTCAATGGCATATTAGTCGCAACCAAAGTATACAATTCAGGTAGCGTACGCAGACCATTAACCAAGTAATTAACCTGCATTACCGGAGTAAACACGCATCCGCAGTCCGCGATTAAATCCATAACCGCCTGATAGTAATCATCGATACTCTCTTTTTGCGGTTTATAATACCGAGAAGCTAGATCTTGAGAAGCGACTAACTCACGATCGTGCTCATAAAACTTTTCCATTAGCTTAATTTTCCACTCTGAGAACGAAAGGCGTCCTACGTACTGTTTACGCACGTTGTCATAAAAATCTCCAGCCCTCCCTTTTAGAGCTTGCACCAAACCAGCAACCATAAAATCATCAGACCATCCGTTAATAAACGCAATCTCTTCATACCGAGCTATGAAGTTTTCTACTCGTTCTGTTTTATCCCCTTTAAACTCTGGGATTTTAACAATCTTCTGTGAAGGTGCCTGCATGAACATGTAAGGATTATATGCAGCAGTGCCGGAAGTCGCATTGAGCTGCGCTGAAGTGGTAGTGTTGAGGCCAGAGTGCGAGACGCGGTGTGATGGCGAGTTTAACTCGGGCTTTTCACTTCGTACACCGGAACTGTTATTACGTCTGCTGATACCCGCGTGATCATCGTCTACTGACGCGGTCTCGTCATCGCGTGAGCTAAAAACCTGTCTGATCTGCCGGGAGAATTTAATTGCCAGCTAACCTTTCTGGCATCTCCACGGTTGCTCTCAGAATACATGTCACACTCCATGTTGTCTTCGTGCGCGAATCGCGAGCGGGTTGGTTCGCTCCTAAATGCGGAGAAACGAACATCCTGGGAAACAAAATCAGCCGAATTAGTGGTCCCGAACGGGCGGTTATCCACTCCACCAAAAACATTTGGATGCTGTCTGAACATGCGCGCTTTCGCACGATCCTGCGTTTGAGAAACGTTGCTGTGAATGTTAGGTCGTTCTCTGTATGGTAGGTCGAACGGCTGCGCGCCGAATTGTGACGTCACACGCTCAGGGCTGTGGATCATGGACTCCGGCCGCCTTTGTGACGTCATGACATCATGCTGCTCCGCTCTACTGTTAGGGACGTGTGCAACCGGCGCTGCCGATCCAGGCACGTGTGAAGGAAAATCCCCCGGTGCCGCAATTAAACTGCCTAATTTCACGGTATCCTTTTTTCGTACATCTTGGCTGTTTAAACTCAGGCTTTTAAACTTCTCCTCAACCAGTTTTTCAAAGTGCGATTCAAACTCACGACTAAAGTCGGATACAAACGCCTGCAAGGCGGCTTTGAGATCAGAAGCCCTGAGGAACTCATCGGTTCTCCCCGTAGTTTCTACGCTCTTTTCGACATGTTCGTCTGGATTATCGCTTCTATGCGTACTCTGACCGTCTCTAGACATTCGCAACAGATTCTCGAGGTACCGACTTGGCGGACGGCTCAGGAGAAAAAACTACTCTGCCGGCGTATGCCGCTGTGCTTACCTGTTGCACACCGAACGAAATCGATCGGCCGACTCCGCCGAGCGTCCGTGCGAATTCCGTCTCCACGGACTAAAAAAAAGGGAACGGAGTCCTTCGTCCTACTGAACGGCTTGGCGTCAAAATTCAACAGCCCGTTGCTGTTTACATCCGACAATGGGTGATTGATTACAGGAGCGCCACTTTGTCACAGAGACAAATGATAAAACGGAAAATGAAGGCAAATCTGACTGCTAAATCGTGATCACTGACAAATACCACCCTAATCTAAATGAATCGGCACGGAAACCACTGAAAAACACTCGAAAAGTCCCAGATCCCGACTTTCTAAACAAAGGAAACCTTTATTCAAAAAGCGAGAAACAAGACTGAAAAATCGCATAGCCCGGCGAAGCCGCATAGCCCACAAATACAGCGCTAACGAACAGGAATGAACAGAAACGAACTACCGCTGGAAAGAACCAATCATCGCTAAACAACGCTAAAGGCGCATCCCATGTTACAGTATGTGATACTGAAAGTGGCATCCGTTGCACTATAACGGGCATCATTTGCATGTGAAAGCGTATGTAGATGAAATCGCATCCATCAATCTGCCGACCTTCGGCAGATTGGTGGTTAATCGGGTGGATTTACCCAAAACCAAACGAGAGGAAAAAATGTGGTTGTCACTTTTTCATCTGCGGAGACAGCGAGCTGATTGACGAGGAGCACGGTGCTCCACGCCTAGCTGTAGGTTTAAACTAAATTTCGAAAATAAAAACAAATCCCTCCGGAGAACCAAAACGAGTAGGATGACATGTTCAGAAAGATTGACAGGAACATCTGGGTGATCGCATCCACCTTTCTGCCGGAGCAGTGTACGCATGCATTGATTGATCTTACAATGGGCCTGAATGCACTCAATGGCTTCGTTGTCACATCCATCGACGCCGATCGATTAGTTCGGCAGAAAGGTGGATGCCTTAGAAAAAGGTGGATGTGCTCCGGCAAAAAGGTGGACGGCTCATCCATCAATCTGCCGAAGGTCGGCAGATTGGTGGATGAGATTTCATTGAACATCCACCCGTCCACCTTTCTGCCGGCTACAAGCGTACGTACCGGATTCCTTGTCCTCATAACTAATTATAAAGTTATAACTTTATTTCATTTCTCAATAACTCAAAAATGGATATGCATAAAAATATTCTGTGAAAAAAAAGATCATCTGCCAAGGAAAAAACAGACTGCCAAGGAACGTTTTTCGACACGTGGAGTACTTCCGGCAGTTCTTCGCGCTTATCTAGGAGCGATTGCGGTGGACTCGACGTCTGACTACCGAGGTAACACTGGGACTTCCACCAACGGACGTATTGTCCCCTGATGCCATCCTATAAGCTGGAGCATACGCAGCGTACATTGTGGTCGGCGGCTGGGGATAGGCGCCGGGGTCTGTGGTGCTAGACCGTCGTGGATACCATTGGGGTGGTGGTGATTACGGGCACAGAAGATGGCGTTACGGTGATGGGGCTCGGAGCAACGTACGCTGTCGTTGCAGTTACCTGTGGAGTGGTCGTAGTGACGGGGGCGTATGTGATAGTCGCCGGCGTCGTCGCTGTGGTGGTCATTGGCGATGGGGTAGCATAGGAAGTTGTCGCAGGCGCTGTCGTGGTATAAGATTTAGTTGTCGCGGTTGTGGTTGTAGTCGTACGGGTAGGCATTGTGGTGGTATAACTCGTCGTTGTTGGTGTTGTCGTTGGCGTAGCGGTGTTGTAAGTTGTGGTTGTTGGTGTGGCTGTCGTGGTAGTAGTTTCTGGCGTTGTGGTAGTATAAGTCATAGTGGTCGGTGTTGTCGTTGACGTAGTGGTCGTATAAGTTGTGGTGGTTGGCATGGTCGTCGTGGTTCTGTTGTGGGTGTTGTGGTGGTTTAAGTCATAGTTTCGGGCGTTGTTGTCGTGGTGGTAGTCGAAGTGTATGTTGTAGTGGTGGGTGTAGTAGTCGTCATATATGTCGGGGTTGTGGTGCTCGTGGTGATTGTGTAGGCTGTGGTAGTACTAGTGAGTGTGGTAGTGGCATGGTCGTCGTCGTCGGTGTCGGGTAGTGTACGTGGTTACCGGCGTGGTGGTGACGGTAGTTGTCGGCACGTATGGGGTAGGAGTGGTTAGAGTTGTGGTGGCATAGGAGGGGGTATTTGGCGACGGGGGCACCGGGGTGGTCGTGCTACCTGGTGGCGCTTAAGCATAGGCAGTGGTAAAGGGCGGATATGGTGATGGTTTTATAACTAGGATCCCGTGGTTGAATTGATCATGATTGGTTTGCACCATTACAACGCTACACTGCTTCCGAAAGACTTAAGTCCCACGGAAATCCGCACTTCCATGACTGGCCTCGATTTCGAGTAATCAATAACCCAGGAAAACCGGGTACTAGAAGGGATGGGAGTCATGGGACTACAATTTTGAAAATTAGCAGTCTGAGAAAGAAAAATCCAATTAAGAAAAAAACATTTATTCCAAAATTTTAGCGACCATAGGTCAAGCAGGAGATGACCATGTCGGCCCAACACGCATGGGAACCATGTTGCACCGACATGTTATTTGTTATCGTTTATAACAGCTGATAGAAAAATCGCACAGAATATGCCAATAGCTCAAACGATAGATCTCAACGTGTACTTGAACACCGATGCATTACGACGGTCATTAAGATGACCAGTGGCCAAGAAAAATTAAAAAACAAAAAACACTGATATGCCCCAGTAAATAAGTGCTTCTCGATATTTCGCAGCCGTTGGTCACTTCCGCTGTAGGTTTTGGACAGTTGGTCATCGGCTTTACTGCGGATCATATCTGAGTGACTTTTACAGTTGAAGCGATACGATATCCGGTCCTCGCCACTGAATTAGATGGAGAGCCGGGACGTGATTACATCGTTATGGACCGGTAACCATTTTTCAAAGTGTTATACAAGTGACCAGCTGCTGAGAAACATGGATGTATCGCGCAGCAGGGTCAGCAAAGTTCTGTCTAAAAAACCTATTTACGTCTATGCAAACAACAGATTATAACAACTGGGAGGGTAGACAGGACTTCTCCGAGCCGCCACATTAACCGCTTTGCACAGTTTGATTTCCAAAGGTTACGAGGGAAGCGTGCTCATGAACCGGAAGTTCCAGATGATGTGTTTGATGCATGGGTAGAAGCTGTACCAGCCTAGTGGAGTTTCTAACTAGCAGAGTACTAACGCGAGCATAAAAACTTTTATAGAATCTACCTCTCGCTCTCTATCTCTCTCATTATGACACTTTAATTAGATAAAATTTGTAAAGAATGCAGGGATTTTCCCAGGAACAATGGAGCAGCCAGGTTGCAGTAAAATGCAATGGTCTTCCTCGGTCTCTGTATGACTTAAATGGTTCGAGTATTGTTTGGACAAAATTTATACCGCAGTTTAAAACTTTGGTGAGCTATGTGGAAAGCCTGAATGAGAAAGTTGAGCAGCTGACGGCCCTCAACAAGGCTCTGACAGAGCAGTTGGTTCAGCACGGGAACGGGTCCTGTTCTTCTGTGGCTCATCCTCCACCTGATGCATCTCAATCTTCAGATAATGTGGAAGCGACTGATAAAAATATTGAGGAATTGTGTGAAAGAGTGTTTTGGTTGAGTGTGCAGTTGGTCACCAGTGGAATGGGATGGATGAGTACATGAAGGAAGACCCCGATTATGTGAAAACTGTGGACGAACATTTTGGAGTGACAGACTATTCGGTAGACATTCCTGGCTTGAAGCAAGCGGGTAAAGTCTGGAGCCCTAAGAGGATTGTCCCTGCGAAATTTGGAAAAGGACAGCTTGCCCAGTCACAATCGAAGAACCCCACCACATCCACGAACCATCCTACACTGGCGATGAAACCACAGTCTTACGCATCAGTTATCAAGAAGGCACCGAAGGTTGTGCTTGGCACGCGTACTGGAACGAGTGAGGGACCCTCGAGAGAACTGACGGAAACACTACAAGCCAAGCACCAGCCACATGCGGACTTTTGTGTGAGAGGTATCCCACGGGTCGAGGATTCGAAGTTTGACAGTGTTAAGGACTACAATGCGTTCATTGCCAAACAGCTGGAAGATGTAGGAATTCCCACAAGATTTGTGAGTGTATACGTTCCTGCTCGTGGAGTTAGACGGTCTTCCACGTTTGCCCACATTGGTACGTTTAAAGAAATGGCGAAAAAAATTATGGAACCTGAGATTTGGCCAACAAATGTGTTTGTAAGGGAGTGGGTGTACTGAGTTGTGTGTGTCGTGGTGTTTAAATACGCTACAGTATTCTTGTTTAAAGCTGCTGTATTATTGTTTAAAGCTTGATCTGTAATACTGTGTATTCTGGAGAATTGTTGCTGTTGTGAGTGTCTGCTGCCTCGAATTGGGATTCTTCCCTGAATGTGTGCGGACGTTAAACCATTAAACTTAAACTTAAATATTAGCGTTCCACACACAAGCAATCTTCTGAGTGTACAATAGACTGCGGAAGTGACTTAAGGCTGGCCGATACAGCCGTTTGCGCAACTGGTCCGGTCGCAGGTTGAGTCATTTTTGCAGCTCCTTGTGGGTAGTAAGGTCATAACCGTTTCAGAGCTACCGAAAACAGCCATCACACAATTGTTTTTCATTTTACTCACATTAATATAACGATGTTGAGTGAAAAAGCATATTTTTTTGATTTCCGGTCACTGCTGACCAGTGGTCACTTCTCTGACCACTATGTTCAATTCAGTAAATACAACTTTTTATGGGATTTCTTTTGATTGCTTCTCATACCGTGTACGATGTTTCGGCCAGTTGATATGAATTTTTAAAGAATACTAATTAATTCATGTCATGCCCAACCGTGTCAAAACCGACATGGTATTTTCCGTTGACCAGCACTGACCAGTGAGCGATTTTTCTTTTAATTTTGTTTCGTTTTTATATAAAGCTCATCAATTACTTCGTCTGTAATTTTTTTGTAATTATCTGATGAGGAGGTGTCTGTAAAGGCAAGCAGAACCTCCGAGAACTCCGTTTGGTCAGTTTTGACCATGTTTGGCAACTCCCTGGACCTTCCGGGCATGGTCGGGCTATATGTTTTACGTTGTGAACTGTTGTCTAAAATCTGTTCTTTGAAATAAAACCATTAAAAACAACTTACGACCATAATTACGGAATAGAGAGAAGAAGTCCTCCACCATGTCGGCCTAACACACATGGTGTGGAATGGGTTAACTTAGTCGCAATGCCGTGTGAGATCTTGAAAAAAAAGCGTGTGCTTCAGGTTTCGAGAGTATAACTAAAGATTTAGTGGATTAAAGGAACTTCAAAGCGTTAGGCTGTTAGGCGTAACTTATGGTAAGTATGATAGCACGTGCAAATTAAATACGGCTGCTGGTTGACTGGTCATTTGAAATTGTAATACGTATTTCAATGTTTGTCCGCAACCGATCAATTTGATTGCAACCAGGATTGTCGCGACTCGCGAGGTCCTTGTTCAATTTTCAGAAACCTACTCCTCTTACAGTTATCATCACATATTTTTCTGAAAATAACATTCAGTTGACTGCGAAATGATTGAGCCGATTCGAATTTGTTTTCCCCCAATACCCAACATCAAACAGCGTCACGCGACAGACGCGGAACGCAACAGAAAAATAACCGCGACACGGTATATAACCGAGTAAGTACTTGTGCTTACGAGTAAGTACTTGTGCTTGTGCCAGGTTGTGATTCCGCAGCTGAAAAATGGTTACACGTATTGGACACATGCGTTGCCCTCCGCTCACATTGGTAATCTCCTGGACGGTGATACTCTTAAAATATCCGTGGGTCTGAGACTGGGAGTTGCAATATGCGAGCCTCACGAATGTATGAAATGCCACAAACATGTCGATAAGTACGGACATCACGGTCTGTCTTGTTCATGCTCGGCCGGTAGACATCCACGACACGGCGCGCTGAATAGCATCGTATGCCGATCACTTGTTTCAGCTGGGATTCCGGCAAAACTGGAACCACGTGGCACGTCCCATACGTCCGAACGACGCCCTGATGGCTGCACAACCTTTGCTTGGCAGAGAGGGATGTGCTTAGTGTGGGCGACGTTACTTGTGTGGACACGGTTGCGCCTTCCCGCATCAAGTCAACGGCTGCAAGCGCTGGTGCAGCGACGTTGGAAGCGGAAGAAAAAAAGTGCCGGCTGTATTTGTATTTAAGTGGCAGGTACATCTTTGCACCGATAGCTTTCGAAACAATGGGCCCTTGGGGACCGTCCGCTATCGCCATTATCAAAGCACTGGGCAAGCGACTCGAGCAACACACAGGCGAAACCCGCTCCCTTGAATTTTTACGCCAAAGATTGTCACTGGAGATACAGCGCGGTAACGCGGCATCAGTCATGGGAACGATGGAAGGAGTAGAAAAGTCTATTGAAATTTTAATGTTGTAAAAAATGCTGATGTTTTAGACAATTGTAAAATTACGTTGTACCTCAGATGAAATAAAATACGCTACACGTAACATTGCAGCCCATCAAGATATTCCTCACAATACGCATACGAGCTTGGAACGATACATTGCACAAACAAGAAGTGTCGC